GCTAAACAATCGAAAAAATAATATTTTCCTCTTACTATGCTTTTTAAAAAAAAGATTTTATTTAATTTTATTTATTTCCATATGCCCAGTGAGGGGGAGAGAGGAGAGAGACAGAGACACACAGAGAGAGAGAAAGTGAAAAAGCAAACCGCTAGGTTCATGACTCCACAGTCGGGTCATTTGGGAGTCCAGGGTACTTAACCATCATACCACCTGCTGGCCCCTTTACTATGCTTTTGTAATGAGAGAAAAGGCTTGTATACAAATGAATACTATGATTCATTCACAAACTTCCAAGATCTTACTAGATAACACAGGCTGGCTCTGCCCAAGATCCTACAATTACCTCATATATATACTCTACAATATAATAATGTACTCACAATGCCAAGGCCCAGTTAAACTCCTTCCACCAAAAATATTTAGGCAAGCACACAATCCAAAGATCTTTCTCCTGTGCTCTATAATCACTGTTTTAACAATCATTTCATAGAACCAGTATTTATTTATTAAACATCTACTATAGTACATCCTTTTTTATTTTCCCTTTAGGAGATTTTTGCTATAGGGTGCGTGCACTCGCTGGAGAAACAGATAGAAAGCAAAAAATCACCCTCCAGGAGGATGGCCATGCCACAGTCCCTTCTCCTCTCAGCATTTAGGGCACATACACACATGCACCCAACACGAATTTTAAGCCTCTGGGTCTGAGACTCAAACAGTAGCCAGCCATGTGGGAGTCTAGCAATGTAACCATTACTCCATCTGCTGATTCCAACTTCAGTACACCTTGTAATCAATGTGATTATAGCAATTAACAAAACAAAGTCCTTATCCTCCAAGAACCTAATTTTGTGGAAGATAAATAAATAATAAATATACAAGTAATATAAATCCAATGATGATAAATGATATTGGAGAAAAATAAAGGAAAGAAGAAAGTTAAGAAATAAGAACATAGGGGGGCCAGTTTTGTGGCCCTGTGGGTAAGACAGATGGATTCCATAGGCTGACTGTGTGGTTCAAGTCCCGGACATCAGGGGCTTAAGAAATATACTGGGGCATGTGCCCAAAATCCCAACAGGAGGAAGAAATAGAGAAGGGATTATGGTACCCCTGGAGGGTGCTTTCTCCCTCTCTCTGTCTCTCTCTGACAAGTACACACAGCCTCTGGCAAATTTTTTTTTTTTTTTAAAGAAAAAGAAAATAGGAAGGGTGAAAAGAAGAGGAGGACTAATCAAAAAAGGTTTATAATTAGAGGACACTTGAGCTTAGTCCTAAAAGTAGTAGAGAAATGAACCATGCAGGCATCAGGGGAGAAAATTCTGAACAAAGTCTTCTGCATAGGATCCTTCATACGACCTAGTTAATCATGTCCAAAAAGTATTTATGAACAAAGAAGATAAACTTCAATCAATGCTGTCAGAACTGCATTGTCAGAACAGAAATGTTCAAGGAAATAATGTACATTAAGCAAAGAGATCTCTTCAGTTGCCTGGTTGATCAGTAGCTCTCCGGACCTCCAATGACACAGGGCACCATGTCTGCCTCTGAAAACTATTGTTTAACCAGTGCTTCTAAGTCATAATTGGAACGGCAACTCTATTATCATCAAATAACTAATTCATGTGAGCGCTAACAATGACCCAGAAGAACTGCAGGGCTTTGAGATACCTACAGAATGGAAAGTTAAATTCAGTTCCCCATCAAGTGTTTGTTGTCTTTGCTGTACATACACAGTGCTGTCTACTACTACTGAAAACTAAACTGTAGTCACTCTTTTTTTACCAGAATACTCTATTACCCCCTAAACTGTAGTCACTCTTTTTTTACCAGAATTTTCTATTACCCCAATAATCTGTCCAAACTTCCACAAATAATCTGCACAAAAAGTATATTTAATCCACTCCTTTTTAAGAGGTTTTTGCCTTAGGGTGTGTGCGCTCGCCGTACACAAAGAGACAGAAACAGTACAGTAAGAGGGAAAGTAAGACATCACCCCCCAGAGGGATGGCCATACCACAATCCCTTCTCCTCCATTCTCCTCACAGGCTCGTGAGTGCAAACTCACATGTCTGGAGTGTTGTTGTTGTTATTGTTTTTTAAAAGAGAGATCTTTGCTATAGAGTGCTTGCGTTCACCAGAGAGACAGAAAGTGAAATATCACTCTAGGGGGGATGGCCAAACCTCAATCCCTTCTTCATTCTACTCTTGGGATTTTGGGCATGCATGCACACGCACCTGCCATGAGTTTTTTTTTTCTTTTAAGAGATTTTTGCAATAGGGCACATGCAGTCGTCCGAAAGACAAAGAAAAAGACAGAAAGCAAGAAATCATTCCCAGGGGGTGGAGGCAATAACCATGCCACAATATGTTCTCCGTTCTCCTCTTGGGATATTGGGCACACACGCCTGGCCTGAGTTTTAACCTGTCAGGTCAACAACTTGAACCGTGGTTGACTACATGGGAGTCCAGTGCCATAACTATTACGCCATCTGCTGGTCCCACCAGGTGTGATTTTCAAGCCACTGGGTCTGGAACTTGAACCAGTCAGCCATATGAGAGTCTAGCAATGCTACTGACCCCACTCTTTGTTTAAATAAACTGTTAAATTTTAGTTTGTCTATGGGACCAGCAGTTGGCGTAATGGCTATGTCACTGGACTCCCAAGTAGTCTACCATGGTTCGAGTCCCAAACCTGGTGTCTTAAACTCATGTCGGGTGCACGGGTGTGTGTGCGCGCGTGTGTGCGTGCGTGCGTGCGTGCGTGCCCAAGATCTCGAGAGGAGAATGGAGGAGAAGGGATTGTAGAATGGCCATCCACCCTGGGGGTGATTTTTTGCTTTCTTCTCTCTTTCTGGCGAGCGCACGCACTCTTCAACAAAAACCTCTCCAAAAAAAAAAAAAAATCACATTAAATCCATCCTCCCTTTTCTCTAGACAAATCATAGACAAGAAGAATTACGAGAGGCAGACAGTGGCACAGCTGTAAAACATGATAATCTCGGAGGCAGTCCTACACAGGAAGGTTCTTAGTTCAAGTTTGGAGACCTCCCTCCACATGCTAGTCCAACTTGCCCTTGCCCATAACCCAGTGCTGAGGCTGGATAGAGATGTAGAGACTGATTAGGGGTTTATTCTTTCTCTCACTCTGTCTCATTAGGGGGAAAAAGTAAACTAAAGGAAAAAAGAGAAACATTTTGACCAAATTATATTGCACAAGCCACAAGAAGTAATATAAGAGAAAAAGAAGGGTCAAATATGCAACAAAAATGTAGGTAGCAGGTGGTGTGGTAGTTGAGGGTGCTGGACTCCCACATGGCCAATCGTGGTTCGAGTCCCAGACCTGACATCTTTCTCTTTTTCTGGTGAATACACATACCCTATAACAAAAATCTAAAAATAATAATTAAAGTTACGTAAATAATTCTTTAAAAAAAGAAAAATTAAGGTACATTTTATTATTTTTAAAACTGAAGTTTCAAGTGTTTAGAAAATACATACTAATTTACTTTCATAACTAGTTTATTACAAATTAAGTATGGTACACATAATAAAGTGGCAGCTCAAAACCTCAAAGTTGCCAGAATGATTTAGCAACAGTTACCAACCTAGCAACACTTGATTACAAAGCATTCCAGTTTGTCCAACTTTTCCTTTATTGGAAAGAGACAAGGGAAAAAAAAATTAAAAAAGGAAGAGCTAACTCTAAAAGCTGAGGAAGCAGAAATATTATTCTATTTCTTTCCCCTCTCTCCTTCCTTTTTCTTTTTCCTTTATTTTAGGGAGGTTTTTGCTATAGGACACATGTGCTCGCCAGAAAGACAGAGACAGAGACAGGAAGCGAGAAATTACCCAAGGGGGGATGGCCATGCAGCAATCCCTTCTCCTCTCAGGATCTTGGGCACGTATGTACATGCACCTGGTGTGAGTTCAAGCTGCTGTGTCCGGGACTGGAACCATGGTCAACTACATGGGAGTCCAGTGACATAGCCATTACGCCAACTGCTGGTCCCTCTTTTCCCTTCATTTTTAATTGTCAGAGAAAACATGTGCTCAGCAGAGGGGGAAAAAAAGCACTTCCCAATAGGGCATGGTCATGCCACAATCTCTTCTCCATTTCTCCATCCTGTCAGGATTTGGGGCTTGCATGCACCTGAACTTGATGTTTTTCAAGCCACTAGGCCACCATTCAAACCAAGGTTGGCCATAGGGGATTAGGCTCCCCTTAACTACTAGTCTAAGTGGCTGGCATGCTATTTCCAAAAAAAATAAATCCTATCTTTTGGTTAGTTACATGTATTTTTCATTTCTAATGTAAGAGAATAAAAAAAATTGTATCTCCTTTACTTTTCTCTCGTTTAGTGGCTTTCACATTTATTTTGCATACACCTTATTATAATAAATTATTTAGCACTGTGATTTTAACAGTGAGTCAAAATCTCTTGGCTCTACAATCAACAAGACTAAAAAAAATGGTTTAAGATGCTTAAAAAGGGGTGGGCAGATGGCGCGGTGATTAAGGGCGCTGGATTCCCACATGGCCGAAGGCAGTTCAAGTCCAGGACCTGGTGGCTTCCTTTCTTGCTTTCCCTTTCTCTCTCCCTCTCTGTCTGTTCCAATTAAAAAATAATAATAATAACAAATGGAATTAAATAAATAATTCGGGAGGTGTGTGTAAACAAAAATTGGTATTTAGGAGCCAGCCTGTGGCCAGCAGCTGAAGATACTGCAAAAACTAAATCAAAGACATAGAAGCTTTAAAACATGCCAGACATGTGTGCATATGCCCAAAATCCTAAAAGGAAGGAGAAATGGATAAGGGATTATAGCATAACCGTTCCCCATGACGAATGGGGTGTGTGTGTGGACTTCATCTGCACTCTTCTCTGCCTTTCTGTGCTAAGTACACATACCCTCTGGCACATTAAAAAAAAAAAAAAAAAGCTATTTTGGGCTAATCCTGGTGAAGTAGTAATGTACTACTTAAGAGAAACTGGGTACTCGCTTTGACAACACATATGCTAAAATTGAAATGCTACAGAGATCAGCATGGCCCCTGCACAAGGATGACATGCAAATTGGTGAAGCGTTCCATATTTTTATAAAAACTGTCCAACAGGCGGCCAGCAGGTGGCATGGTGTTAAGAGCACTGTACTCCCACATGGCCGACCATTGTTTGAGTCCCAGACCTGACAGCTTGCTTTCTCTCTCTCTCCCCCTTTCTCTCTCATTCTCGCTCTATCCCTCTCTGGTCAAATTAAAATAAATAAATAAAGTTAAGTAAAATTTTTTAAATTGCCCAGCAGTATGAAAATGTAAAAAACAGAGAGAGAGAAGCTGGATCCTACATGGTGACCATGATTGGAATCTTCAGTGCCGTCTGCCTGAAACCCATGCATGTGCCCAAGATCCAACGCACTAGAGGATCAAAGGAAGAGGATCGTGGTGAGATTCTATAGAAGGTGCTCCTCTCTCTGACGTGAATGCACTCTATCATGCACAAAGGAAAAAAGGCTATTCCGTTAATATTTAAACTGTGGTATATCCACATGATGGAATACAATTCAGCAACATAAAGAACTCTAGTAATAGGAACAACATCTTAGTCGAACCTCAAGAAAATTCTGCTGCATACGTAAAAGGCCAACCCCAAAAGATATTTATTGTATGATTTTCAGTAAAACTTCTTAAAATGACAAAGTTAAACAGAAAACAACAAAGGATATTACATGCTGAAGGAAGAAAGGATGTGGTCTAACATGCAACTAAAGAATGCCATGCGTTAAACTGTTCCATATATTGACTGTACTGATGGAAATCTATACATTGTTAACACTGTACAAAATTAAATACACACACAAGTACAAGCAAAACTGTGTGTGTGTTTAAACTATGTGAGAATCTACAGTAACCTCAGAATAAAAAGTGTGAGTTTCTTAAAAAAGTGGCAACAATTGAGAAAACTTAATTATGAACTACAGTAAGACAATACTACAATGGAGGCTGGCAAGTGGCGTGGTGGTTAAAGGTGCTGGATTCCCACATGGCAACTGTGGTTCAAGCCCCGGACCTGGCGGCTTTTTTTCTCATTTTCTCTCTCTCTCTCTCTCTCTCTCTCTCTCTCTCTCTCTCTCTCTCTCTCTCTCTCTCTCTCTCTCTCTCTCTCTCTCTCTCTCTCTCTCTCATTCACTCACTCTGACTCTCTCTGGTCACACTGAAATAAACAAATGAATAAATGAATAAATAAAGTTAAATAAAATAATTTTTAAAAAAACAATACTACAGAATGATTACTGACATGGTTATACAAGACGCTGACCTTATTCTTAAGAGATACTTATTGAAGTATAAAGCATGAAGTATTATGTCTGCAACTTTTGTTACAAATGCAAAAACTTAGAAAAGTTTGTGGAAATGGAATTAAAATATCAATGTATTTCAGTACAGGAAATTTAGAAATCCATGAGTAGTTTTTTCATAATATGTGCTTTCCATGAACTTGACGAAAGATTTATTTAACTTTACTTATTATTATTTTTACTATTTAATTTGCTATAGGGCACATGTGCACGAGAGAGAGAGAGAGAGAGAGAGAAAACAAGAAAGCAAGCCACCAGGTCCAGCACTTCAACCACCACGCCACCCAATGAATCTCCACAAACTTTTTGAAGACCTCTCCAGAGAAAGAAAGAAAACATGTCAAAAATTTAAACATTAAATTTAGAGGGCTCATGAGTGTTACTTGTACTCTTCTCTCAACTCTTCAGTTTGAATTTTTCACAAAATAAAAGATTTTAGGGAAAAGATTAAAGATGAATTGCTGGGCCAGCTCTTGGCACAGTGGTTAAAGTTGCTGGATTCCAAATGACCCATGGTGCAGTTCAAATTGTAGACCTCAAGGCTAGAAAACACATTTGACTTGTGAGTGCCCATGAGGAATATCCCAAAAGGAGGGAGAAATGGAAGAGAAGGGTCTGCGGCCTGACCATCCCCATGGGGGAGGGGGTTGTATTCTCACTCTCTCTCTCTCTCCCTAGCAAACCAAAAAACAGGATAAATTGCTATCCTAAAACTATGTTACAGTACTACCTACACAACACTTAGTATTTACAGTTTTAGAAACAGAGGCCTGTAGGTGGTATGGTGGTTGGGTGCTGGACTCCCACATAGCTGACCACAGTTTTGGTCCCGGACCTGGCAGCTTGCTTTCTCACTTTCTCTCTCCCTGTCTCTCTCTGGTCAAATTAATAACAATAATAATAATAATAATAATAATAAATTAAGCTAAGTTAAATAATTCTTTTAATAATTTCAGAAACAACTCTTCTGTTAAAACTATGTCACAGTCCCATCTACACCCCAATTAGTCTTAATAACAAAACCAAATGTCAAAAGGGATTTCAGAGTAACTAAGAGTTACTTGGTATCAGATGTGACTTCCTGATGTTTTTCAACCGAAATTGACTAAATCTGTAGGGCATATGGGTCATTTTGGAGAATCAAAGTTAGTTCAACATGAATGATTATTTTTATAAAAACTGGATCCTCAGAATTGTTCTTCTGAAGAACAAGTGAGATAAGTTATCACTGCAAGAGAAAGAGCTAACACTTTCATTCGCACACCCCCAAAATTAAATGTCTTAAATTTGGCACGGACAGCTAATCCTTTCACAAAGAAATTTTTGCGTGAAAGGCGCACCCGACACACTAAATGCCAAACAAAAACCTGCTGCAATGTATCAATTATAGAGTCAAGGCCACAAGACTAACTTTACTAAGTAAACAGTCCCTGTAAACATCGTTGAAAAAGTTGTTTTTTTTTTTTTTTTTAAGTACAACCTGCACCTATTTGAAATGCAGGGGATGAGTTTAAGCTAGCGTGGATACATTCATCTCCAAAGTTCTCAAATTCCCTTCTGTTTGCAACAGTGTTCACACACTTCGGTGTGTAAGAAAAGTCAGTGTCTAGAACGTTTCCACTAAAAGCTCCTAACTTTTCACTTCCTACCGGACCGCCCCTAGCTGGGCCCCACCTCCTGAGGAGGGTGATGGGGTGGGGCTGTTTCCCGCTCGGAAACTAAGAACTAAATGTCTCTTCCCTACTCCAGAAAGGAGGGAACGAGAAATGCCGAGGAGCTCCAGACGCAAACACACAACCAGTTACAAGCAGGTAGTCGTTTGGAAAACCTGCTTCCCTGCTCCCAGGTCATTCAGTGACCCCGGGCCGGGCGGGGACAGGTGAATCACAAGAGAGGAGGAAGAGGGAGGGACAGACGATGGGGAACCGCGCTTAGGCAATGAATGAGCCGCGCTGCATCCCCACCTGTTCCTTCCAGGGGTGCCACCTCGGCCTGCCGGCACGGCTCCCACACCAGCCGGGCCGCGACTCCTGCCACCGATGCCCGCTTCCCCGCTAAAGGCCGGCCTTTCCTCCCTCGCTCGGGAAAGACGAAAACCCGCAGTCGTCAAGCCGAGAGGTTGGGGCCTAGTCCCGAACCAGGGCCTCTGAAGCGTGGGGATGGGAGAGGAAAGCCTGTGGTCGCAGGCGCGCGGACCGAAGTGGGACCCACAGGGAGGGGACGAAAGAGTGCATTCGGCCTGACCAGGACCACGAAGGCGGGGTCCCGGGCGGGGGTGGCTCGCTGACCACTGGGCCGAGATTAGGGATGACAGGCCCGGTTCCTGGCAAAACCCTCCCCTTGGCTGGCCCGGAACCTCACACTTACCAAGATCCGCTTGAAGAGCGCGTTCTCCTTGGGCGGGAGGCTCACGGCCGGCATCGTTCCGGCTCCT